GCATGAATTTGGCTAAGTCTTCTAATTTCCTTCTGCCTGAGGTTCTCTTTCTGTCTGATGGGAAGCATAGTAACCCTCAGCTCCAATATGTGTTTTGTTGTACACCATCAGCTGTCAGGCAGATTTTGACGGAGCAGAACTTCTCCATAGCATGCTCCGGGTGGTCATCTGTGTGGAAGAGGGTTGCCATCTCTTTCACAGAGCCACCAGTGAGTTCTAACTGCCAGCCTTTTGGTTAGTAGCTGAACACTTAACCCAATGTCCCACTTGGGCTGTCAACAAACCACAGGGTGTTCTTGAGGGTTAACTTTACAGAAGATCCCTGGGGCCTTTCTTCCATAGCACTCCTGGGCAGGTTTGAACTACCAACCTTTAGGTTAGGTCTTTAGGACAAACTGGGTGTTTGCCACATTCAATACAAGTAAGCAGTCATTTCAGCTGTAAATGTTATTGTCCATCATTCTAATATAAAGGAAATCCTAGGAGATAAATAAGAGTAAGGAAATGCACATTGGGCCTCTACTCGAGTCCTCCTTCAACGCAAGAACACTTTGTTCTAATGACCCGACATTCTGTGATGCTCACCATCTGGACACAATCTCTGAAGACAAAATGGGTGCATGAGCTAATGTGGTGAAGAAAGCCGATGGTGTCCGGCTATTACAAGATAGAGTGTCTGGGGTCTTAAAGGCTTAACGTTAAAAAAACAACCATCTAGCAGGGAAGCAACAAAGCCCACATAGAAGAAGCACATCAGCCTGTGTGATCAAGTGGTATCAAAGGGATCGGGTATCCAGCATCAGAAGATCCAAAACAAACAATCATATAGATGTGAACAAGGGGGATCAGATTGGAGACCCAAAGCCAACCTTTTGGACATCCCCTCACATAAGGATCACAAGGAAGTGACCAGTCAACCAGAGTGCAGTATAGCCCTGACGAAACACACAGCATTCCTCTAGTTCTTTAATGCTTCCTGCCCCCCATTATCATGACCCCAGTTCTACTTTACAAATCTGGCTAGACCGGAGCGTGTACACTGGTACAGACAAGAGCTCCCGACACATGGAATCTAGGACAGATAAACCCCTCAGAAACAGTAATGGGAGTAGCAATATCATAAAGATAGGAGGAAGGTGGGTAAGAGGGAGAGAGGGGGAACTGATTGCCATCATTGATGTACAACATTCCCCCCCTCTGCCCCAGGGGGACGAACAACAGAAATGTGGGTGAAGAGTGACGGCAGATGGTATAAGATATGAAAAGAATAATAATTTATAAATTATCAAGGGTTCACAAGGAAGGGAGGTTGGAGGAGGGAGGGGAAAAAACTGATGCCAAAGGCTCAAGTAGAAAATGTTTTGAAAATGATTATGGCAACATATGTACAAAAGTCCTTGATACAATTGATGCATGGATTGTTATGCGAGCTGTAAGAGCCCCCAGTAAAATGACTGATACCCCCAAAAAGTAGAAAAATGAAATCAATGGGCGATCAGTGAAATCTAAGTAAATACTTCCTGGGTGAGTTGCTGTGCCAGGGTGCACGGAGCCCAAGAATGATTATGAACAGTGGCTCTATTTCCCAACTAATTATTTCAGACATAAGCATTTTGAATGAGATTTTTATATTAAAACAGATACGGACCTAATGGAAGCAAATGTAACATTTTGCACTACCTTTTCACAAACAGAAGTGTCTTCAAAGACCTTTTGTGTGCTTGCGACTCTGGGCTGGGATACTGCATTCACTTCTTTCCCTCTGGCCTTTTGGTGGGAAGGCTAGGAAACTAAGGGAGCATCCACAGCAGTAATATTAACGTGGAGAAAACGCCTCTTACACTTAGGAGCTTTGAATGGTGCCCAAAGGTAGAGCCTTTGCCGTTGGTACGTGCCCACATTCTAGAACAAAAACCTTGTGGAGTAGGGCAGGAGAAGGACCATAATAGAGTCAGACCTGGGGGAAATTGATTCACCAGGAAGGAAAGTACAGAACAGAATCCTTGCTCTGCATCTATTATTAACCAGTTGCTTGACATCCACGAGGGCAGGGACACTCTATTTTTTTCATTGCAGATTCTCACCCACCTAGAATAAGTGTGGGATAGTGAATGACCGTAGTCTCTCTAAGCCCTAGGTTCCTAATCCATAAAGTCAGTAATTCCGGATTTGAGTGTATACGATAAAACATATGTTGTCATGTGCCACCAAGTCAGTTCCAACTGATAGACTGTGTGCAACAGAACCAAACCACCTGGTCCTGCAGCCCCATCCTGACCCTGACCACAGTTCCTGTTGGAGCCCATTGCTGCTGCAGCCACTGTGCCAGTCCATCTTGTCTAGGGTCTTACTGTTTTCACCGCGCCATTTGCCAAGCCTAATGTTCTTCTCTAGGCACTGATCTCACCAGAAAACGTGTCTTAAGTATATGCGAGAGGAAGTCTCTCATTCTTGGTGCTAAGGGGCATTGTAGCTGTACTTCTCTCAAGAGGGATTTGTTTATTCTTTCAGCCGCCCAGGGCACTTTCAGTATTGCCAGCACCGTAAAGTAAACACCTTGATGCTTCTTTGGTCTTCCTTATTCAGCATCCAACTTTCACTTGCATGCGATTTGATTGCAAATACGATGGCTTGGGTCAGGCACACCTTGGTCCTCAAAGTAACATCCTTGCTTTTCAACCCTTTTAAAAGAGATCTTGTGCAGCAGGTTTACCCAATAGAGTACATCCTTTGACTGCTTGACTAATGCTAACATGAGCACTGATTGTGGATCCAAACAAGATAAAAATCACGTGATGACTCGAATCTTTTCTCTGTTTATTACTTGTTACCTATTGGTCCAGTTGTGAGGATTTTGGTTTTCTTTAACTTGAGTTGTAATCCATTTTGAAGTCTGCAATCCTTGAACTTCATCAGCAAGTGCTTCAAGTCCTCTCACAACAAGCAAGTTGTCTGTAGATTGAAGGTTGTTAGTAAGCCTTCCACCAATCCTGATGCTACATTCTTCTGCATATAATCCAGCATCTCTGATTATTTGCTCAGCAGACATATTGAGTAACTAATGTGAGAGGATTCAACACTGATCCACACCTTTCCTGACTTGAAAACATGCAGCCTTCCCTTGTTCTGATTCATGTCCAGGTCCCACATAGACACAGTTAAATGTTCTAGAATTCTCATTCTTCTCAAAACTATCCTAGTTTTATATGCTCTATACAGTCAAATTCCTTTGCATAGTCAGTAATGCATGAGTAAATATCTTTCCTAGGATTCTCTGCTGTGAGCCAAGATCCATCTGCCATCAGCAATGATATTCTTTGTTCGACATCCTCTTCTGGATTTGGCTTGAGCCTCTGGGAGCTCCCTGTCAATGCATTGCTGCAACTATTCTTGGATATCTTCAGCAAAACTTTACTTGCATGTGATATCAGTGATATTGTTCTATAATTTGAGCATTCTGTTGAGTCACCTTCCTTTAGAATTGGTACAGATATGGATCTCTTCCAGTCAGTTGGCCAGGTAATTGTCTCCCGATTATCTTGGCATAGACAAGGGAGTGTTTCAGTGCTTCTTAGCTTATTGAAACATTTTTCATCATAGTCCGTCTATTCCTGGGGCTTTGTTTTGGGCTAATGCTTTCAGTGCAGCTTGGATGTCTCCCTTCAGTATCATTGCTTCTTACTCCAGTGCTACCTCTTGAAATGGTTGTATGTCAACTAGTTCTTTTTGGCACAGTGACTGTATTTTTTCCATCTTCTTTGGATGATTTCTGAATCATTTAGCATTTTGGCCATAGACTCAGTATTGCAAATTGAGGCTTACAATTTTTTCTTTTGTTCTTTCACTTTAAGACATGCTGAATATGTTCTTCCTTTTTGGTTTTCTAACTCGAAGTCTTTGCGCAATTCATTATAATATATCACTTTGTCTTGTTGGGTGACTCTTTGAAATGTTCTCTTCCAACTTTTCCTATTTTGGCTCTCATGGACTTCTTTTCATTTTCTCCAGCTTCAATCTGAATAAAAGTATATAGACAATTATAATTAAACTTGAGGAGTTAAATGTTTATGACAAATAAAAATTCTTGATTCCATGCCCACACATTAAGCTTTGGTAGCTCTTTCAGCCCACGTGGATTTGGGGCATTTAAATTGTGAGGGAGCTAAAATTCTACCTTGAAAAAATCTCATTTGTATTCAGAGAGCATCACAGGGAAAGCGTTGATGCATTCAACACTAATGCGTTGTGGCATGACATTAAGGACAGAAAATAGCAAAAGGTCTTTGAAAAAAGACAGCAAAGAAATGATTAAGGTGGGTATCAGAGGAGACTTTGCAACTGCTCTTAAATGTAGAGCAGCTAAAGAAAGGAAGAAGTAAAAGAGTTAAACAGAACACCTTAAAGGATAGCTAGAAAAGATTAGAGTATTACAATGAGTTGTGCAAAAACCTAGTGTTAGCAAGCCAAAAGGAAGAACACACAGCACATCACAAGCTGAAAGAATTAAAGAAAAAAAAAATCAAGCATTGAATCACAATATTGAAGGATACAGGAAACTCCAAAAGAAAACGGAAGGAACACACTGAGTCATTCTACTAAAAGAATTGGTCCATATTCAGCCATTTCAAGAGGTGACATGATTAAGACCCTATGGCTCTGTACCTTGAGGGCTGGGAGGCATTAGCCTCAGTGATTCACATACTGGTGAGCTAGGACTGGCACTGTGAGAATCACTGGATTTTGAGATCACAACTGGAGGTTATGCCAGACATTATTTTCCCAGGTTTTTCACGAGATAACCTGGAATCTTGCTTATGACACTGGAAGAGTACCAAGCAAATGGAATCAGCATTGAGCCCTCCTTTTTCTTGGTTATCAGTTTGTTTTAATTTTAAAATATTGGGCCAACATAATCTGTTCATCTATTGGAACTGACCCTACCTGACCTCTTATTCTTCCTTTTTTTTTTTTCTTGGCTTGGGGCATAAATTGAGCAGGAAGAAGCTTACGTCAGAAAACAATTGACCATGCATGATCAGATTTGTGTTAGGTACATTACATGTGAGTTCAAAGAAGAAGTGAATTCTGGTAAGTGGATATTAATGACTTATTAACATGTTTTTGTAAAATGAAGATGCTACCCTCATTTTAAGAAAAAAAATCCAACTTATTAATAAAATCACCCCAAGCATACCTCTTCATCTTAACATTTGAGTTATTAGGTTAGTTTCATTGACTTATTTGCACCCCCACATTCATCTTTGCCAAAACAATCCAAAAAGCAAATGATTTTCCACAAATGGTGGATTAGATATGCATGTGAGGAAAAAAAACCCTTCATTTCTACTCCCCACTGTGCATAAGCAGTTATTTGCAATACATCTAAAGGCAGATGTTAAAGCATCGAGTTTTCAGAGGGAGCAAAAGTAACTTGAAGATAGAGATTTCTTAGAAAATACATAAAAATAAGTGACCATAAAAGAATAAAACAGCAAACTAGACATCAAAATCGAACACTTCATCTCATCTCAAGGAAATCAAGGTGGGGAACAGAGCCTGAAAATCCTTAACAGTCATTCCTTCCAGCAAGATTTTCACTCTTTGCACTAATTGAAGTTATTTTGACTTACAAGTGATAGAAGTTGACAGTGTGGGCATAAATGAAAGGGGCGATTTCATGATGGCTTCTCGGGGACCCAAGGACTGGCATGTGGTAGGAACTCAGGGTTAGAAGTTTTGAAGATTCATAGGAAATTATTTCTCTCCTAAGATCATCTTTTTCTTCTTCGTGGCAGTGTGATCCCTCCTCCCTTCAATTAACACAACAGATCATGGTTGACAATTGTTCATCAGCCATAGTTGTTCGCGTTGAGCCACCAGTTGAGTCCAGAAAGGTCTCAACTCTCATAATTCTCAAGGAAGAGTCTGATTGGCTCATTTGGGTCCTGGGACCTCCCTTCACCCAGTAAACTGTGACTAGAAACCAAACAATAGTTAGGGGGGGGGGGTCCCTTTATACACATGTGCAGAGTTTGAAAAGGAATTGCATTCCAATTGATATTCACTGTGTATTTTCTCTTGACAAAATATGGCACAAAAGTGATGAGGATTTTCAATAGAGTTTTTAATGACTAAGTTTTGGAATATTGACACACTAGCTCTGTACTTCTCTGATTTCAGTAACTGTATCTCTACATGACTGATATATATTAAGGGCTATAAACAAATATGGCCCATTGTACAAATGGGCGCATTTATTTGTAAATTATTAAGTAAGAGCTACTTAGATGCAGACATGCTTTATTTTAGTCTGGATATACAATAAAATTAATTTATATAACTTTAATTAACCTCCAAAACAGCAAAATCCAAGACAATTAGGTTAACTTTAAGAACTCGTATTTATTGAGTTAACAGATGGTAAATTAAAAAACAATGAAGCTAATTTTTAAAATTATTCATTGAACTGAAAAACAGACTTATTTAACAAACTGTTTTTAAACTGGTTTTCCATCCCAACATGTATATTTTAAGATTCCAATTTGGGAAACTTCTGGGAAGCCATCACATCAGTTGCAGTATATGAATGCTCCTTCACCAAATTCCTTTGTAATGATGCATAAAAACCATCTGAAAAAGCAATAAGGCCTTCCTATGCATTAACAATTAAAACTGCAAGAAATAGGCATCGGATTTGGGAAGAAATGAAGAGTCTGATTCATGGAATTGGCTTTCTAGTGTACTCCTACGGCCTCTGGAATTGCATACCTTGATCAAACTTAAGAACTTCCTAGGCTGGCTCCTTTCTGTCCAGCCCCGCGGCTCTGCGATATGAGTGTCAAGCAAAAAATAAATAAATAACGGCTTTCTTTTGTTGTCTTCCTGAGCCTGTGAAATGTGTGAGCATAACCCAGGGTTCTCCTTTGTTCCCTTGAGTTTTCGCCTTTGCTCTCTGGTTAAGAAATGCCCTGTC